ATTTGAAGGTACGRGGACTATGGTCTATAATTTAGGTTGATTTTAAAATCATAGTTATTGATATTAATATTTATTTATACATATTTTATTCACATTGAATAGTTTATGAATATATCCCTAGGATATCAAGTACTAGATTAAATATAAATTATATTTTTATATTTTATTATGTAACACCACTAATTAATAATTATTATGATTAATCAACTCAGAAAACTAATTATTCAAATGTTAATTTAGATGTATTAGGATTAAAAAAAATAAATAATATCTGCTCAACTATTTATATATAGTAAAAAGAGTGGTTCTCTTTTATTATATTTAAGTTAGTACCACCAAAAGATATGCGTTAAATTATATAAATAATCTAAGTAATTAGAATACTGTTTTTAAGTTATCTTAAAAATTCCAAAAATTTGGATTTGGACGCATTATTAATTAGTTGAATTGTATTTATAGAGTATCTCAATGTGGTCGTAATACAAACTCTTTTGAATACTTTTCCGCTGACTTTTATAATACATTAAAACTTATATAAATATTTAAATATTTAACAGAATTTAAGAAATCAACTTTTAAAATATTTACATAAATTAACACTACCTACAAACATTTGCTTTTTAATGTACCTATATATAGTTTTCAAAAATAGTATATAAATTAGTAAGAAAAAGTATATTAAGTATATGTGATGAAAGAAAATCGACCAATGGTACATAATAAAATTATTCAATATATAATATACTTTATGTTATAATATTGTTATAGTCGTTGTGAGTAAAACGTGGATTTCGCCATTGTGTTATTAAATCCCGTATAATATAATATGGACGGTCGACGCTGGACCCAGCAAGTGCTATTCAATCGAATCATTAATGCCTTCCGCACAGCTTCGTCTATCGTCCACGTTCTGTGTATATGTTCACTTTTACAAAGGGACCTTTGTGCGATACATTACGTGGAGATCGCGGCCATCGGTTTTAAGCCTTTACTTTCCTCCTYCTAACACTATACTACTTTCTACTACACAATACAACAATAAACGCCCTCCGTTGTTTGAATTTTGGTGATGGGTGGATTAAAACGGTGTGATATGCGCAGTGGTRGCCGAGATGTCTTGAGAAGARGGGGAGGGAAATAGGAGTGACGGCGACTGATGGTGAATACTGTAGGGTTGCTGAAGGGTGAGAGTAACGACGTCGTCCAAGGGTGGTCGGTTTTAGTCACACGTCTTTGAAACAAGACGTTTGTTTGATGTCCACGATCGTTGCTTTGTTACGTATAATAACCTATGGTGACCTCGGGGATTTGAAAACAATACTACAAACCGTAGTAGTACATCAACGTCACAATAATAATAATTATAATAATAATGTTAATAATAATTATAATAATAATGTTAATAATAATTATAATAATAATGTTAATAATAATGTTAATAATAATTATAATAATAATGATATTAATAGTAGTAATAATATTAACAATGATAAATATATCCGTCAAACAAGGGTTCCGTTGTAAGACGTCTGTCAACGGTGTACTTACTCAARTGACAATATTATAATTTGTGCTCAGCGCATAMACGGAAGACTGCGAAATTCGACCGCCGARAATCCGGTAACAACGATATTAGTTTCAACTCGGACGAATGGATCTTTCGTTGGTAATATTATTTGTGTCTCCTCGTTGTTATTATTATTAATTATACAAGTATACAGATTACAGTTCATGACGACTGAGGAGAGATCAATATAATAGCGTTTAGTATTTTACCGRATTTCGTATAAATCTCTACGATTATTAGGTATACCTACTATTATAATTGATGATCTTTTCTGTTGCGTGATACACACGCCATTTAATTTGCTTCACTTATTATATAACGCCCAGATAYCTTTAAATTTAAAGAATATCGGGTACCTACTCAATGGGTACGACTTAGCTTAAAACAATAGAAATATATTAATCRAAAATGTCATTTAAAAACGTGAGTGTTCAAAAAATAAAATATTTTTGAAGTTTTTTTATGTAATTAATAATAGCATAAAATATTCAGTACTTGACTATTATTCAAACAATAATGTATAATAATAATAATACTTGGAATGTTTTAAGAATAAGATTTTCTTTCTCTTTTACTCTTTCTGGTGGCGGAGTTTAAAACTCATCACAACAATTAATAATAAGTAGCTGAAACCAATTATTACTGTGGAACGTTTTAAATTAAGTCGTGTTTTAATATTGTTTGCAAAGGGTAATATTTGAGATGCTGAAATGGAAAATAATTATAGATGCAAGTTGTTTTGATGAAGTTTGTATTGATTTGCATAGTAATAATAATAACCAATAAGATAATACATTATACATATACATTTGAGTAATATTAAATTAATGTATTATATYATCCGTAATTAATCAATTGGTTAAATGGAAATACAATAACAAATAATATATGCAATAGCACTTCAAAGTTTCTGCTTTATTTCAATTGAAATAATATATTATGATACGGTTCGTCTGGATGGACGGCCCGTGTCGTAAATAAATTATAACACTGATTTTTTAGTTATCACTTATATCTATTTCTATGGAATATAATATATATATTTACAAAATTTAAGGCGACTAAAGCGTCGATTTGCGCCTACTGTATTTAAATAATTGAGTCTACGCAATCGTGGGCGCTTGTGAATAGTCGGTTGAATACCGGACTCTATGTACTATGTTACAGTTGGCCTACAATTTGTACAAATAACGGGGTAGGGGCCCTGGCCGTTATTATTACAAATTGGTTAAGCGGTATTTCGACGGCGAATCTGRTCCGGGGAGGTCATCTTAAATAAGTGTCTTGCCGAGGTTATAGGTGGTGACCCTGAAAAGGACTATTTTTGGTTGTTGCCACCTGGCGTTTGGTCGTTCCAAGGTTTGCGTCGGGCCTCCTTTCAGCTGGGTGTCGGTCTTCGTTCCCAGGCGTCGGTGACTACGAGGTCTGAGTGGCACGTCGCGTTCCGCTGCGGGTCCAAGAAGTTTCGATTGGCATAGGCCTCGGCGTAAGCCGGATTTCGTCCAGAGAATGACGGTTTTGTTGGCGTCGTCGCTGACTGTCGTATATGATGGGAGTTTCGGTCGAACGATATACTCACGTTGGTTTTATCATGGCTGCACTGACCGTCGGAACAGTTAGTCCTGAAAAGGACCGTTTTCAAATCGTGCAGGTGGTATGTGAATCGCTGTCCAGCGGTGCCGTCAATCACACGTCGAGGACGTTCGCTAAGACGTGAACACAACTTAGTCGAATAGCCCTGAGTGGTGTGATTGGCGGTAGTGCCGTGTGAAAGTACAGGGTAGGCAACTTAAATGCGTGTCAGATCACCTTGAGTTTTCGAACGTTCGCTATCGACGGCGGTGTTTGTAATTGCCGACACTGTCACAGTACCGCAGAATCGTCGGCTCCGAGGCTCCGACGAATGACGAATGACGATTCCAGTCTTCTGAATGGTTGGCTGTTAGAACGTTTGGTGACAGCTGCTTGTAAGATCGTCATACTCGTTCAACAGTTCAAATATGAACACTTCTGTGTATTCCTGTTTTCTTAAGTTCTCGATTAATAACTTGAAGTCTTGGAATGTTGAGTTGAAATTAGAATATGAGTTGTTTGTCGGTCGCAACGTGCCCGTTTATAATCCGTTTGCCGTATCGACTAGTAAGCCCCCAGTAAGCTTTGTTGACCTGCTTCATGGCATTCAGTCGTGTTTCTTTTTGYGATTGTTGTGGTTGTTGTTCCTGTCCAATARTGTCGTGAGTGATGTGTACGGATAAGTCTTATCATCTCCTATCCGTTGATAGGTACCTCCTCTGATATTGTCTGATCGTGTCTTCGTTTTCTATCTATCCGTTATCTTTGCTATTATATTCGTTTGTTTTGTTTATCATATCGATATCTTAGCCTCTTCTTATCTGTTTCATACCTTTATTATTGGGCTTGGTGGTATCCATGAATAGGAGTTTTCCTCCCCTATTCATTGGTACCACTGCTGTGACTGTGATGATTTAGCATTTGGTAATCCTACGTCAAGTGTTTTGTTGGAATGGTCACCTCTGATTAGCTGTTCACGCGGTATGTTGTAATGTGGTTTATTGAATCGTTTATTGGTCCTGAAAAGGACCGTTTTAATATGATGTTGTAGTAATGTTCCGTAACAATAAATATTATAAACTTTGTGTTTAGTGAATAAATTCTTTTTTGAAAATAATAATTACTAGTTTATGGCTTATTTAATTCTGAACCTATTCTGCACTTAGATAGAAGATAGAACACTAAACCAGTGCAATAAATGTTACAATAATATGTTATATTTAAATTCACTATAATCATTATAGTTTTGTTAATACCTACCAACTCATGAGTATACMTATGCCTATTTACTATTGATGAAATTCATTTTTTATTCCTCATCGTCAGTTGATTAACTTTTTTTTCACTAATTACATATCAATTTTATTCCTTGATTTCTGTTATATTATATAGATKTAATGGTTTCAATTAAAATATATTTAAATACTCCTTAAATTCATATTATTTTATGTTATAATTATAATTAATTGATTGTCGTCTAAGATTTGATAAATAAATTTACGTATTTTATTGCTATAACTTTAAAACATGTTGCTATTTTGTATTTTATATTTTATATTTTTTGCTATTTTGTACCTATACGTCAGAATTCACGAGTTTCATTGTAATACATATATGTTTATGATTTCATCTTCATATGTTTACCTTGAGCTTCAAAGCAAAGTATTATGCATATAGACATATAGTAGTATATCACTATAAGGATAATCGAAATTATTTGACCTAGTATTGAAAATAAAGTATGTCAATAAGAAAATTCAATGATAACTTATATTTGATATCGACATTTTGCTAATTTACTAACAATATTTTCATGCATTTCAATATTATATCTAGAATATTATAATAATATATGACTTACTTTGAAATGTTGGGCTGTACCGAGGCTGAATTCTTTGGTGTAGAGGTCTTCTACAGTCGTCTTATACTTGGAGCAAAACGAGTTGTACAAAAACCGTTTACAAATTGCACTCTTCCCAACGCCAGCGTCACCAAGCACCACCAATCTGGTTCTCTCCGGGTCGGCCATGATAAACCGTATTTATCCGTAAGTCGGACTCAGATTATTTCATTGTCTACTAGATATTAGACTGAAAAAAAATAACGATCTAATAAAAAATAAGTTTAACTACCAATATACAATATATATAACACTTTTTAATTAAAATTTAACTTATGTTTACTTTGGGATAATATGTATATAATTGTGTTAACGTTCTTTTGGCATTTAAAAAAAAAATTAAACTAGAGCTTATCAGTTATTTTTGCAGAGGTTACGATTGGGGTGTCTTCCCACRTCACCAAAACCCAATTTACCGGCTTCCAAATCGCCAACATATTATTAATACTACATTAAGCCAGTTGGTGTATTATATAAAAGAAAAGTGAACACATATTTTTCCACTCGTCCACTCGACGAATAAAGTTATTTACTACGAATAAATTTGATCTTTTTCAGATTTTATTTTAAACCCTTTAATTTTAATTATTAATAAGCAATTTTCAATAGTTATTAAATTCTGAACTTCATAGTAAAAACGGCTTGGATGAAATAAATTCACCAATCTATACTACCAATAAATTTGATGCATGGAAAAAAAATATAAATATTGAACTTATCGTCAACATACCTACTGCAATACTATTGCTGTCATATTCGTTTTCAACAAAATGATTACCGGAACCTGTCAGTGAATTGGGAAAATTGAAATTATATCAATAAAACTGGTGTAATTTTTCTGTGAACTGAGACTCGGCAAACTTGACTGTCGATGAAATGGGAATGGTTTTAAAGTATTTTAAAGCTATATTATATTTTTGTTGGAAATTGTGTTTTAGGTTTTTGGTTATTCACCAAAGCGGGGATGGCCATGGCAAAATGAACGTACGGTTGTTACTGTTGATACGGTTAATTCAAACACGTGTGTGTCACAAGGATTTGCCACTGAGAAGGTGACTCCCCATTTGGGAACTAATAGTATAGACTGATGCTATCAAATAGATCAATTTGTAATCTGAAGCAGATGCTGAGTAAAGTAAAATAACATTTGTATTTGCGTCAAGACACTTTATATTTAGATGATTTATAAATGAAATAAATCTTCGGGGCAAAACTTCTTATTCCATTAATTTTTTTACCCTGAAATTTTAGCAATAATAAGTATAGTTTATGAATGATTTATTATTATCACAGTTCATTTTTCTGTGTAAAAATAATGTTATCAATCCTTGTACTAATTTCAGTTTTAAATAATTTACAAAAAAAAAAAAAAACCGTAAAATCTTAAGTGCATAGTTTTATTTAGTGTTACAACGTCTTACAAAATATAAAATTTAAAATTATGTGTAAAATATTTAAATTTTTTTTGTGACATTTTGATATTCATATAAAGTTTCATGCATTATTATTTTTATTTGGACGAGTCGTTAAAATAAATTAATAAATCATAATATTACAGAATACATTTAAATAATGTGTAAATGTAAAACACAACTAAATCAACGGGAAATGACAATACACTGAATAATTATGATATCCAAAATTAACAATAGAAACAATCAAACCAGGTTAAATGTACCATTTACTTATTTACAATATATTAATTGACTTTACAAATATTTGTATGTGTGTATAAATTATCTAACATAAGATATATGGTATAAAAATTGCTTCAATCTTAAACTTTTTAAGTTTGAGTTAAAGAGTTTCTGACAGGGGTGTCATTTCAGGKTTTTTTTGGGGTGTGTGAAGTTTCAAGCAGGCCATTTTAAAATTTCACCAGGCCAAATAAAAATAGATATATATACGTATATGTATATTATCCTGCATTCAATTATTTCCATACATTATAGACCGGTTATTACAATTTGATTTTAATCATACATATAAATAATTGTGCGTTTGTGGCTCGTGCATTATTTTAGGTTTCAGCAAGGCGCAGGCCAATTGTAACATTGTAAAAGTAAGGGGTGATACCGCACACCCTGACCCCCTCAAAATGACGCCCCTGGCTTTCTTATAAACTATTAAATTTAATTTTTTGCTCTAATAAAACAAAATTCAAAATTCCAATTACTTTTTAATATATTTGGAAGCAAAAAAAAAATTAATAATTACAGAAAAGCGTAAAATTTAATTTGAAACTTTTACGTACCCATTAATCTATTATTTTTATAAACACAATACATTTTCAAAACACTTATTAGATTAATGTATTAGGTGGTACCGTATATATTATTATCACTATAGTATAAGTAGTAATATTAATTATTATATTATAATAATTAGGTAATAGCAATATGTCAATATATATAATTACAGTCCGAAGATTAATAGATAGACGGTCTTTGCAATGATTTATTATTAAACTCAAATTTAACACATCTATTACCGTGATTTACTGAATGATCAGGTAAAATCAACTCATACCATGAAGACAATGATTATACGTATCGACTTCCATCAGTTCCATCATTTTAGATTCTGAGTGGAACGAGGAAT